GACACAGTCACAACTGTGTTTTCTCTTCCTAACACTATTTCTCTCCTTTTTAGATGACACGACAAATAAATACGGTTCACGTAACCAGTTATCGAAATAGCTTAGAATGACATATTTATTCGGCAAATGGAATTGAGCTCATAATATGAATGACATTTTAACTATGAGACAATCACAGCGGTGTTTTCCCTTCATACCGCTATTTGTCTATTTTTTAAATAACATGACGGATATATACGTTTCACGTACCGAAGTAGTTTAGAATGACATGTTTATTCGACAAATAAAATTGAGCTCGTAATATGTAAGGCATTTAAACTGTGAGACAGTCACGATTATACTTTCCCTTTATAAAGCTATTTCTTCCTTTTTAAATGACACGACGAATAAATACAGTTCACGTAACCAGTTATCAAAGTAGCTTAGAATGACATATTTATTCGGCAAATGTAATTGAGCTCATAATATGAATGACATTTTAACTGAGAGACCGTCACAACTGTGTTTTCTCTTCATAACCTTCATAACGCTATTCGTCTCCTTTTTAGATGACACGACAAATAAATACGGTTAACTTAACCAGTTATCGAAATAGCTTAGAATGACATATTTATTCCGAAACCGGTTTATGTAACCAGTTACCGAAATGTTTATTCGACAAAAAAAAATTTGAGCTCATAATAGCTGTGAGACAGTCGCAAAAGTACATTCTCTTCGTAACGCTATTTCTCTCCTTTTTAAATGGCACGACGAATAAATACGGCTTATGCAATCAGTTACCAAAGTAGTTCAGATTACAATCACCATGGTGTTTTGTCTTTATAAAGCTACTTTCTCTTATTTTTAAATGATACGACGAACAAATACGTTTCTCGTTACCAGTAACCGAAGTAGTTTAGAATGAAATATTTATTCGTCAAATATAATTGAGCTCATAATATGAATGTCATTTTAGATGTGAGACTGTCTCAGCTGTATTTTTCTCATCACAAAGCCATTTTTTCTTTTTAATTGACACCACAACGAATAAATACATTTACGTAACCAGTCACCAAAATAGTTCGGATTATTATTTATTCATCAAATGTCATTCAGGTCGTCAATAATCATGACTTTTGAGCAGCGCAATAAAATAATTGCCGTGATCACATGCGCAAAGCCACGCTCTCTCTCTCTTTAAAAGAAAAAAAAAAGCTTTTGTTTTGATTTCATCTGTCATGGTCATTTACTAAAGTTCTGAATGTATGTGATAAAAAATTTCTTCATTTTATCTCCATGGGACCAGGCGAAAAAACAAAAAAGAAAAACGATAATGGAAGAAAAGAAAAAAACCGAGTAAAAAATTGATTGCGCAATGTCATTTGCGGATGTAACAAACCTGTTTGGGAAAGCGTAGCGGGCAGGAAATTTTAGTTTCGCTTCTCTGTTGTGTCTGTTCCTTACTAGTATACTGTTTGTCTACGATAGGTACTCTGTCCGCCACAAAGTCTGCGGCAGTCTGGTGCTATGGAAACAAGAAGAGAGCATTTTAGGGAGGGTGGCTTCGATGAAGAGGTCTCCTTTTCTTTCGCCTTCGATGATAGCTTGTATGGGGAGTATACCAGATTGGCTGACTCAGCCACCAGTAGGAGACTTATTTAATCTGATTCAAGAACTTTTTTAAGATTCGCATGAATATTTCTTTCTTACTTAAAATAATTCTCTCGATTCAATCAGTTGTTATTTTTTAAATACAAAGGAAAAAAAGTGAACAAATTCTGACATTAAGGGTAGTACAGGTTTTTTTAATATTACTTTTTAATTTTACGATATTTATTATGAATGTTCATTGATTGTTAGATGGTTTAATTTCTAAACTTGCACATTTTTTAAAGCAGTTAATTTCTTTTATTACTTGAATTTTCTGGAAAAAGTGAAGAGCTTAAACTTAATAACTCTGATTTTAAAAGGAGATAAAACTTTTGCTGAAAATAAAAATAGTTCACGTTATCTGTGCCGGAGAAATATTAAATATCTTTGTTTTGATTATTAATTTTTAAATATTTTATTTATTTATTTATTTTTTTTTTTTTTTTTTGAAACTGAAAGCAAGTGACCGCAACTAGGATGAAATCTAAAACTATCAACGATGATTTTTATCAGCACCCATCAAACCATCTGAAATTATCTGAAGTTTTTTTTGCTTAAATTACGTTTTCTTATTCATATTTTATTGTAACCTGTACAGTTTTTTTTCACTATTTATTAAAAACAGTTTTTATTAGCAAATTTATTTTTTTCTTAATAACCAATTTACTATGTATGATAAATTTATAGATGAGTTATTTATTAATAAAACATTGAGCTGCTTTAAACAATTTTATACAATTTCCATACATATTCCATACATACATATAAATTTTTTTAATTTTTTTTCTAAAACAGAAGCTTTTGAAAAAGAGAAAAGATTAAAAAAAAGGAATCACACGCTCTAAACGCTGTTTCAGGCGCGAATGCTCTTAACTCTAGGGCTAATACAATAGATCGAAGAAAGAAGTCTCCTTTTCTCCCACCGAAACCAGTCTTAAAGAGGGACCCCGCACCCCTACTTGAAATAATCATACCTCGTTACCATAGTCCCCGCCACCCCTCCAGACGAATGGCGGACAGAGTACCTATCGTAGGAACCTATCGTACCTATCGTACGGAAGTAATTCATAATGTAAATAAACATTGACTGGATGACAGAAAAAAGAAAAAAAAAAGCCAACACCTGCTGCTTTATTCTAAGTTTTAGCTTATTGTATGTTGATTTGAAGTACTATTTACGTCATTGAGAAATGGATGTGGGGATTAAAATAAGCCATTTGTTGAATCAAATAACGTATTACCAAAAATAAATAGAATAAAAATGTATATATAAAGAGAAGGAATTGATATTGAATTACTGTTTTAATTTTGTTTCATTCCAAACTTTTTATTTTAACAATTGGTATGTTTTTTTAGAATTTTTTTAAACTTTCACTGATTACTGGGGAAAAAAACAACATATTTTTCTTCTTAGGTTTTTATAACTTATTGTAATTTTTCATGAAAATAAAATACATTTTGAAATTGAAGTATCTTCTTTTTTATTTTAATTGATAGTACATTAAAAAATAATCTTTGAAAAATTTTTGTGATGTAGAATTGTAATTTAAATTTACTTTGAGCAAAATTGTTTGATAATTTTACTAAAAGGATTTTATGAAAACAGTTTTTAGCTTTAAGAGACAAGTTCAAGTTACACTTAATGTTTTTTTTTAAAATTAAATTTCCTTAGTGATTTAAAGTCAATTTCCATTTTATTCTATTCCGGTCTATTTTCCATTTTAACTTTTACATTGATCACGCCGACTTTTTTTTTTTTTCGTTCTTAGAAATTTGAAGTTATTTAGTAGAGAAATTTATACTGTTTTCTCTTATTTCACTTCAGTTAAAATTCATAAATTTTCATTGATCATCATCTTCAATGTTTCAGTGTGACATATTTAAGGTAGTTATTATGTGATAACCATGAATTCGGTTGCAAAATTAAATCCAAAAACAATTCGATTTCGAATACCCGATCAAAAAAATGGCCAAAAACGTTGGCTACATTCTAAAATAATATTTTACTCACAATTTTGAAACTCCTTTATGCAAACGAAACTTTTTGTGAAAAATAATGTTCAATAATTATTTATTTCAATATGATAAAAGAAGTTTTGGACCTTTTATTTCTTTTTCGATTAAACTTATTAATATACTTTTTGGAATAGTAAAAATGAGAATATATAATAAAATTCATTTTAAAAGCTTACGTTATTTCTTAACTCAAATTTTGAAAATTTTTTCGTCCCTCTTGCTACTTTTTCTATTAGGGGGACCGGAAAGTAATGTCGTTTCGGTGCATTTTATATTTGTTATCAAGATTTTATTTCTAATCAATAATGCATTCACCCTCGTTAGCAATAACCTTTAAATGCCGGATCTTAAAAAAAATTAATTGGTTTTTAAGACAATGAATATTTCATGCGCCGAAACGACAGTACTTTCCGGTCCCCCTAATATAAAGCTGTTTATAGAAAAGCTAATTGTAGAAAAACTAATTGAAATATCTAGAAAAAAGAATCCTAGAATTGAACCTTTTTAATCATTTTTCACAACCAATTAAATTTCTTAATTATTTATGAGCATTTATACCAAAAAATCGCTTTCAGTTTTCGCAATATAACAATTAAAAAATTATTAATGTTAAAAATTGTAACGACAACAAACAGTAGCGTAAAAAAATATACCTTAAGTTACAGAATAATTTTAATAATCACGTAAGTTGCTTTACATTACCCTTAGGCGAAATATTAAGGGGCGAATTGTCTATAAACCCTAACTTAAGTGATAAAATCTCATATTATTGAAAAAAATAAAAGTTAACAAGGACATAAAAAAACTTAATAAACTAAATTTTATCTCCATTTTGTATTCCCAATTGTATATAAACTAATAAGTTTTAAGGAAAATGCAATAAAAACGATTAACGCGATCTAAAATACAGCAAAAACCCACAACAAACAATATTTAAAACAATGTCACCAAAATAAACTGTTTTAATTGTCGCTTTTAATATTAGTCATTGTTTACAAACAAATTCCGCAAAATAAACTGGAAACAATTCAGAAAATTTATAAACAAAATAAACTAATCAAATGTCATTAATGAATAAAATTCAAAATTTTTTGTCGTCAGTTATCGAAACCAAGAAAAGGCAGAGTAAAATGTAAACAGAACTAACTGTGATGCAATTCAGGAAAAGCGATTTTATAAATCCCGTAAATGATATAAGAACACGTGTTTCACCTTAAAATCGATATTTAAAGAACTCGAGAAGAATTTATCCTGGCAGTAGGATAGGATCCCCCTACGCTAAACGAATGAGTTGTTCCCAACAAGGATTCTGACCTTGACCTTGAATCTTCCTCAGCAGCGCTTTACTAGTAGCTGTAGAAGCGTGTGTTATAGTACATGCAGGGGCTGTCCACATATTTATTATTATAGAAATGTAGACAGGAAAAGAACGTATTAGGAAGGGGAAAGAAAAAAAAACGGTAAATAATTTTGATGTCATGTTTCTGTGCTATTATGAAATGCGGAAGAAAGCGTAGTTGAAATTTCAGGAGATGTAACATAATGAATCCATGAATTTATTTTGAAATTAAAAAATTTACTTCTCAAAATGTTTCGTTCTAAAGAAAATTGCATAAAAATTTATCTTGCATTTTACTTCAGATTTATTTATAGCGATGTAACAAAATGAATCCATGAATCTATTTCGAAAATAAAAAATTTACTTCTCAAAATGCTTCGTTCTAAAGTAAATTGCATAAAATTTTTCTTGCATTTTACTTCAGAATTATTTGCATTTTATTTGTAGCGATGCAACAAAATGTATCCATGAATCTATTTTGAAATTAAAAAATTTACTTCTCAAAATGTTTCATTCTAAAGTGAATTGCATAAAAATTTATCTAGCATTTTACTTCAGAATTATTTGTATTTTATTTGTTTATTTGTATTTTCAAAATAAACAGTATTAGTGTAATATCAGGTTAGCGGTAAGAAGAGCACTGGAAGAAAAAAAAGCACCTGGAAAAAAATACGCTCTAAAATCCCGAATTACTAAATTAGATTAATTTTGTTTAAGTATAGAATTTCTTTATAATCTTTTTCCATACTTTCCAAAATAATTTCACTAAATGCATGTACAATGGAAAATTTATAAGAATCTAATGTTATAACATTTTACTAAAAATAATTCACAATATTTAAATCCGAAATTTATTTCTTTTATTGTATTTATAAAATCGATATTTCCGGAATGTTGTAATTTCTTCTCAGCTAATATTTAGTATTAATTTGCAAAGTATAATTAAAAAACAAAAATCAAAACTTAAGTAATAAAATAATAATTTTTCTCTAAGAAATGTTTTAAATACACTTGTTTTAGTAGTTTTTTTTTACTTAGTTGGAATTAGATTCACTTGTTAATTATAAATTAATACTTTTTACATTTATTAAAATAAGAAATGTTAAGATTATTAAATTCAGACTGGTATTTTGAGGTTTAAATCAGTTCCATTCTGTTTACAGTTGCTCTTTTTAAATGCAAAAGTAGTTTAAATAATCATTTTTAATACTTGTTTATATTTACTACTTTACTAACTTTAGATCAAAAATCTAAAATTACTCGTGTATCGATCTTTGGGTCATCTCATTGATTCTAGGAAAAAAAGGTACCGGAAAAAAAGGTACGGAAAAAAAGGTCCCGGAAAAAAAAGGTCCCGGTAAAAAAGGTACCTGTGTAGGGAAAATTCTGTAGGGGAAAATATTTTAAATGAGAAGATTGGATTGAAGCGCTTTTTGCTGTTCCGTGCATGTTTTTTTGCGTGTCGCGCGTGTTCAAAGAGCTTTTTATCCAACTTTTGTTTCTTATTTATGCATTTATTCTTAAAAAGTTAATTAAATATGAAAATGTTCAATAAAATTGTTTATTTATTTTCTAAGATCATGATTCTACCGGGAATCTTGACTCTTATCTATTGAAAAAGTGTTATCAGGCTACATGAAACTTTTAGGGGAGGGGGAGTAAAATTAATGTGTTTCGCTTATAACGCTTCTAATAGAAATTTTTTGACAGGTATTTTTTGACAGGTGTCATTTTCTTTCATTTTTCGCTTTTTTTTATTTTGTAATAAGTTACAATTGATAACATAGCACAGAACCGTTTCAGTTAACCAATGGCATGTTTGGGAATCGGTTTATGCATTGACGGTCTTACTTGACCCACTGTTTGCCACCTCTTGTTTACAATATTGGGGAAAAAAATGAAGTTTAGAAAAAGTTTTTGATTTAAATTTTTTTTAAAGTTTTTGATTTATTAAAACATAATATCCCCTAACTATTGAATTTATAATTTAAACCCTAAAATATGACAAAATTATAATTTATCTAAAAAGATATTGCAATAAACAAGGCAGAGCATTCTATATCCACTATCTGGTTAATGTTTAAATATCATTTGCTATCGAATTCGAGAGCATATTTTTCTTTTTTATATTTTGGGTTTTAAAAACTTCAATTTTCGGTGCCATTTCTCTTAAAGATTTTTTCTCTGTTAGTGACTTTTTATTTTCATTATTTTAGTGAATAAATCTAAAAATTATTTTCGATTATTTTTTAAAATTTGTTAAAAATTATAAATATTTGTAATGTCTTAATTGCTTTTAAAAGGCTACTAATGTTCAATTACGTAGTCTTATAAAAGTGAACTCAACCCAGAAGACAAAGAGAACTCCTAGATCAAGCATTGGGAGAAATTTGCCTTCGTGGGGACTTTTCAATGGAACTTAAAAGCATGTGCGTTACATATAGTGTAAACCACGAAAACCATCCACGGTTAGACTGACGGCAAGTGAACTCTAACCCATAATCTGTCTTCCACAGAGGATATTTTACATTAGTACTGTGATCAGTGCGAACTGAGTGCATCTTCATATTGACCCGCCGGCTCTGGCATTCGAACCCGGTGCGGCTCTTGAGCATTTGATTGGTGGTAATGGTGGTGTTATTCGCTTATTTCTCTCTTTAAATAGATAATAATTCTTATTTATTTAATTGGCAATAAGAACAACTTAAAAAATTATCTAAACAGTAACAACTATCATTTTAATTACTTTACATCTTTAGTAATTAATTTACTAATTGAAGCGTAAAAGGTTATTTAACGTTGCATTACAACGTAGTATTATAATTAATGAATTTTTTTTCACATTTATTTACATTCACAATTAACATTTATTCAATGTACTATATTTAAGAGCAAATTAGAATCAAAATGCTGGAAACTTATCAGAAGCAAACCTTATTGAATATTTTTAGCAGGATTTCATTGATTTAATCATGATTTAAGTCAGCTGGTTTTTTTAAAAATATCATTGTTTCGTATTGAATCGAATGTTATTTTAATACTTAAATATATATTAGTCATTTAATGTATATATGTATTATAATATCTGGTCTTTTACATATTTTAATTTGTAATTATGAAATTTCCAGAAAAAAAGAAACCATTCATTAAAGTAGGATTGCTTTTTTAATAAGTAAATAAAAAAAATTAGTATGCTTGATTTGTTTTTTTTTTTTTTTTCATGTATTTTTCTTTATTTTTTTTATGATTCATTTATATTCAATTTCCAATTAGTTTGAACAAAAATTGTGCATCCATTATGCATTTGCTAGAAAGTAATTTATAATACAGTAATATTGCCTGAAATATGTAATTATTTTTATTACATTTTCATTGGATTTAAATTATTTTAATATTTATAAAGTTGAATTAAATAAGATGTGTTTTATAAGTAGATCAGTTTTTTCAATTTAAAATAAAATATATCACAAACCTTTTATGACGTAGTTGACAACTTTTTTAACTATTCCTCTAAAAACTTCAGCTTAGACGTATATGGAGAACTTTGTTTCTGCTTACAACAATATATTTATAAACATCATTTTTTATGACATTATTTTTTGAAAACACAAGAAAATTAAAAAATAACTTGATTGGAATACATTAGAGGAAAATTTTTTATTTTTTTGTAAAATAATGACGATTTCGATGTTTAAAATATACAAATTCACAAATATACAATATACAAAAACATAAATAGTTCATTGCTATGAAACTCTGCAAAAAAGGTATTACATATCATCGTTAAAATATCTTATAAATTTTTTAAATGGTATGTCTTTTAGATGTTAAAGAAAATTAAAAACTTACATTTAGGAATATTTAAATATAAAATTTGCTTTATTTAAAACTGCCATGTAGTATCATTTTTAGCTATTCAAAAAAATTAATAAACTAAAGTAATGAATACAGATTTTAATATGAAATTGGAAATGAATGAAAATTTTGTATGTTGACAATTTTGAGTTTTTAGGGGTTTTAAATTTAGTTAGTTTTTAAATTTACATGTTTTTCTTTCTTAGATTATTAGCTATTGAACTTAAAAATTCTGGGATGTCTAGATTTTGGTTTAAAAACTTAACGCAAAGTGTTTTCAACCTTTTTTGAAGAGTTTCATAGCTCCTCTTTTTTCTATGTGCGATATGCACTCCAGCTTTGATTTGCTGGAAACTGAAATACAAAGAATGACAAAGAATGAAAAACTGAAATACAAAGAATGGCTGAAACATTCTTAGAAAAAGGTTGAAAGGGTTGTTAGAGTGAAACCCCCTCTTATTCTTGTAGGTGTATTCAAGAAACCTCAAGGACATCCATTTGCAGTACACTAATGTACACATACGTCAAAGTAATTGCTATCTTCAGAAATTTACAAGATTAATGAAATGCACTGATTCTAGCAGTAGACTCACAAAAAAGTACATAAACATCTTTCCTTTTTTATAACACCAATTTCCTTTTGTTTGCAAAAATTTTAATATAGCCACAAATGCTTGTTTTTTGGTAAAGGCACACTTCAGTGCATCTAACATGATTCAATCTGTAACATACCTTATTGAATTTGATAATCATTGATTTATAATATATATTATTCACTTTGTTAAAATGATATTTGTTTTAGACCAGGGGTTTCCAACTGGCAGCCCGGGGGCCGCATCCGGCCCGCGAAGCCTTTTTTTGTGGCCCGCGGACTAAACTTTACTAGTTGTCATTTTTTTGCGGACAATTTTCGTAAAGAATCAATATGGGTTTAAAATGCTTTTCTCGTTAATAAAAACCTAATTTCTTCGTATCTGTGAAATTTAACATACCAATTGTGCAAAAAAATTTATTTCTCAGGTTTTACACCCAGGAAAATATTTATTCAAATGCAAAAATAATCATGTATGTAGCTCTATTTTATTTCATTTCTTTTTGTATTTTGTTAATATAATTTAGCATGTGCGTATCAGAAATTTTCTCGAAGAAATTATCCGATTTAACTTTTTGAGACCACTCATTTTGGACGAAAATATTTGCACACACATTTGTAAATTTTAAATGTAAATATCTATTCTCTGGTGGTTGTAGCAGACAAATCTCAAT